AAATCCATAGAGGACCGGTCTCAAAGTTACATCACCCCGTCGGGTGTTCAACCGCTTCGCATGTTTTTCTACAGTACAAATACAATAGCATGATAACGACTGTCAAGTAAACGGTATATATTTGTTCACTCAACTCCACTGACAAACATTTCGTTATGATTAAGCTTCGAAAACTATGATATGAAAGTCGTTATATGAAAGGAATTGATATATATTTAGACTACACAAAAAAGATATATAACAAATGAGTGAGGTTTTATTTATATCTATATATATATATATATGTTGCTCATATATACCTCGGCATTAGCAATTAAGATATCCGTTATTACGTAAAATTGATACATCTAAATTAAGAAATACATCCGAAAAAAGAGTTACATTCACGTTCCTTGGCCGACTCCAACGTTTTCAGAATAACTGTGCCCGGCCAATCTTTCAATAATCGAAATGGTCTCGTGCTTCCCCCATTGGTACACAAGGTACAGTGGCTTCCAGTTACTGAGAGAATAGTATATACCAGATACTTGTTTAAACTTTTAAATCTTTGTCAAACACACTTTCTCTATACTTCCACTCACTCTTTCAATGACAGAGAACGTCATATTTATACCGACCTACATCCGCTCCTTCATTTCTAATTCCCAAATCCCGAAAACAGGCAGGCATCAAATCCTACAATCCGTTGTCCCACGCCTGTGGACTAAATTCAATGCATTTCTTAGGAAAGCACTTCTCTTTTAATACTTCATTAAAGACAAATCTGGTAACAGACCTCTAAAATTCTTAATTTTTCCTTAGACTGTTGGACATCAACTTGTATATCCTGGAAAAGGCACTATATACATAAAACTATTATTATTATTGTTATCATCATAACAGATGACAAGAATATAGGTTGTGCAAGGTATGAATGATAATATACTAATTCATGTATACGGCATATATCGGTTGAAGATTTAACGAACGACCAACCTGATGGTTTATTGATGACCTTATTGGCAACTACAAATGTAATGAACACAATTACACGTGTAGGCCTATATATTCAAGTGATATGGGTATTTCTGTTCACAAAAGCCCATATATTGGTGGTAAAGTACAGAATTTATATCATTTCTATAGTCATAATGTGTATACAGTATAATGCCTGAAATATTGGAATGAGGTTATGAATTTGAATTTGAACTTTAAAATGGCGCTCTTATTAAACAATTTTATACATTTTACAAGATGGTCGAGGAATATTTACAACATGATAGAAAAAAGCTGTGGAGTATTCCAATTTTTGATAAAGTGGTTAATGTTATGTTATCACAATTGGAAACTAAAACAGCGAAGAACAGAGGCGTGATCACTTAACTCTTAGATGAAACATATTATGATCTAGAGGGTAGTGAAAATGTATATATATATATATACATTTCACTGGGATGTATGGAACGTGGTATGATTTCTAGTAAAATAAGAGCACATCGCCCTTTACATTTCACTATTCCAGCAGAGAGGCTATGTCAAGAAAAAGCCCTGTCTATTTCTTTGATGTAAACGTATGCCCCTTGACGTGTACACAGAATCCGAAGATTTCGAGACTCATTCGAGAACATGCATCATTGCTTGGTTAAATACACATTTTAAATTGTACAAATATAGACTTCATTTCAATATCTACACATTCAGGACATGCTAGAATGAGGTCAAATTGTCTCTAGGTGACGTGTCAGGCATGTACTTACGGAACATGATGAACGCTTTAAATTGCAATACAAGACTTTAGATTGATATATTACATCAAGAGTATGGAGTAAGCGTAAACAAATCAGACGTGATATATATCTATCACATATTGCCTATATATGCTTGATATCTGTTATCAAAATGAACCACATAGTGTAATGTATTTCTTTTGAATTATAGTGACCTCAAAGGCAAAAAAACTGGAATACAAATTGTTACCTAAAAAAAAAATATTTTAAACACACACCATACATACAAACATTTTACCTTGTGACGATGTTATTTCAAGAATTTCAAAACAAAAATCAAATTAAAAAACATGAACAGTTAGTAGTGCCCCCCCCCCCGTGTTAAAAAATCGGATTATATTCATGACCCTTTGGGTGTACCTTTTGAGACGAGGCTTCTAACGCTAATATAGCATTACGAAGTATTATATTGCAATGTAATTATGCTTTATGTAAAATGTCAATGATTAGGACATAAGGAGTCATTTCACTGAGAATTACCGTGAGTAAACATAAGCCAATGAATAAGTTCAGAAGTAACCAGACAAACGTATTTACTCTGAGAAGATAAACGTACGATTTTCATTACCCCTGTATTAAAAAAACAGTCGAGACATTTTATTAAGAACTATTATAAGTTTGCAATACAACAATGAATATGAAATTTGAGAGGACCAGACAATCGTATTTACCCAAGGAAGATGAAACTACGATTTCCATTATCCGTGCATTCAAATTTACTGCTCCAAAAATAAAACAAATGTATAGAAACAGTTGTTTCTGGTGAGCTGGGTGAAGAAGAATGTGGATCTAGAGTAAGAGTTTAAAAGACCCACTGGCAGATGATGATGAAAGTTAATAGAGGGTCGACGGATAAATGAAAACGCATTGTCCATACAAAACCATTTGTACATACAAAACCATTTGTACATTGTATGACACAATTTCGTTTACGTTACAGTCAGTACTTTGAATATAATAACTTCTTTAAAATGTAATTTAGAAGTTGATGATGCTTAATGATTACATTCGTTAATGTTTGGTATATACTATCATATTTTGTTTCAAATTTGAAGAGATTTTAACCTGTTTTAGTTTATCAGCCATCCTAATCATAATCAAAAGAGCCAGGGGTATCAACAGGCATACGAAGGGCAAAACAGAACGAAGTATGAATTGCTTAGAGGTTCCTGATCCTTTTTGGGATTCGTTGGTCCATGGCGTGAGAGTGGTTGCATTGTGTACATGAGCAGGCCTACTGATTTTGTAAGAAATCGATGTAGTTGCAGTATTAACTGTTTGTGATGTAGTTTCTTTGTCACGCATGTCAGGTGGCCACTCGAAATCATTGCACATTGTTTCATTCACATGTGAAGTAATATCATGTGAGCAACAAGAGAAAGCAGTGATAAGGGGTAGCAAAAATATCCCAGCGATAACTTGGCCATTATCTGTAATATCACCCTTGACATCAATTTTGTGATGATTCTGGTAACATGATAGTGTGGTTGTAACACTTCCAGTGGTTGCTCGACAGTGTACTTCATAGGGATCATCACCATTTTCACTTAAAGTGATAAAGCATTTTGCTCGTCCGGATGGGATCTGTACAACAATCTCCTTCATCATAGTTTCAAACCTAACGTTCTTTAAACTACGCCAGACCGCCGTTAATAAATACACACCCTCGTCCAAAGTATCAACGTTATCAATAACCAGATTCACGCACTGAGAAGTGTCTAAATCTGTGACTGAGGTGGTAAATCTTGATAACTGGGAGGGGCTTTTAAAGCCCTCGATATCAGCTTTTCCATTATTAGAGAATGGACGAGGCTTTGATTTATATTGAAGTGTGTAAAATGGAACAATCTGGGATGTGTCACTAGGTGACGATGGGAGATGGAATGGGACCACACCAGGTTTACCTGCTTGTAGCGTGACCCGTTCAGTGATATATCTGGCTGCTACGAGAACCGGACTTCCAGCAAGAATGATGGCCAAAGTGATAATCACCTGTAGGAAAGTGTGTACGAGTGCCAGGATTGAAGGACACCAGTGAACTGATTTTTGACGTTTGGTCTAAATCAAAAGGGTATGAATTTGAGAGAGAATGTTGATGAAATTTGACAAAAGTCACGGAATATCTCAATCAGCAAGCATCCGATGTGAACAATACACAATTGTGTGTGTGTGGGGGGGGGGGGACACCATTCAATGCTGGCATTCAATGTTCCACAAGGAATCAAGTGATATTTCTCAATATATGCGAAAGATTAAATTATATCAATTCCTTACCCCATAAAAACTATTTAATAGAAAATATAACGAAGCAGTAAAAACCTGAATTGATAATGAACGCCTTCATGTACAAATCGTAGAGGTTACTCAATTCATTTCATTCACTGGTAGTGTTCTCATATACGTTTTGTTTTGCACAAATGCAGAATGATAATCCAATTTTATCTTAAGCTTGTTATTCTATTTCATAACTTTCACAGCAATTTGTTGATAAATCAAAGATGGGAGCAACAATTCACTCTTACCCTGATTTTCTGAACTGGGTTTGATGAGGTTCCATGGGTGGAGACAGGGTTAGGGTCATACAACTTTTGGGGAACGACATCTGGTGGGTGTTTAGGGGAGCTGTTGAATTTAATTGTAGAAATAAGTTAGCGGATGTAAAACAAAAAAAGCCAATCGAATTGGGTCCCTAAAATCTCTGAAAGACAGAAATGTTTGTATGACTGTTGAAAATAGACGTACATGTATATCGGAGAAAGCCCACATATCGTCGCTGTTTTCACGAAGTGACGGTAGTGAAAAAAAATTGCATTCACTTTGCGTTACGATTTTCCTCACTACCGTCACTTCGTGAAAACAAGGACGATATGGCAAAGGAAAAATACCTAAATTTAAAATATTGACCCCAACAGTACCCTGTGTACCGCATCAGTTCTTGCTTCACTGTTCTCTAGCTTTTTGAGGATGAAGTCCAGGAAGGTTAAATATCTGAAAGTGCTCTAATCCTGCCAAAAGGTTAAGTCATGCAGTTTACGTAAATAATGCTTTTTTCATAAACGATTATTCATAATTATACATTATGAAGAATATCTAAAATAAATCTAAATATCAATAAACATGAACAAAATTGTTTTTATTAGTGATGCAAGTACTTGTGGAGCGAAATATATGCACTAAATACGTCCCGTTCTACGAATAACAAGGTTTCCTCATAATAAAAGAAACGGAAAGTAACTAGTACCTCTCAATCTTTGATGGTTCGTTGATTGCTAGATCATCTCCAGCATTCATCGGTGAAGAAGATTCCTGACAGGGAAAATCAATTACATCAAAGAAAATGTCATATTAGAATGCTGTGAAATGATATGATCTAAGAAGACAGAATAGCGACGATTAGTTTTGGTCAGCACGGATGCTCTAGGAGGAATTAGACAAAAGAATGAGTACGACAGACTTTAAAATACATGCAAAGAATGAACACGTTGTTGTTTCTTACATCATAAATAACTGACCATTGTGTATAATAGTATTGCATGTACTTTTTTAATTCTCTATTTTTAGAATTTGAGTCCTTTTCTCATGCATAGGTGTGTTTGAAGCAAAACATATTAAGGAATCTTCACCATAGGGCTTTGAACAAAAGGTCATTAATCTTGTTTCTACCCATCTTTAGTTTTCATCTCTATGATGAAATTAGAATTGGCTGCATGATTCCTTCCAAGCATATCTGTATTTGCCATTATATTTTATATCCAAAGTTTCAATCAAATTCATGCTTCGTTAAGCGAGAACTTAAACATTTAATAACCACTCACTCTCATTTTCCTGTTTTCGTCAATTAGTAGGTGACATCTAGATTCCGGTTCTTCAGACGGGTGACCATCAGTCTCCATGTTTTGTAGAGAGGGTGGATCGAATCCGCTGTATTGCCATGTATGAGGTGCATGCGGGGAAGAACAGTCTGCGCCATTTGTTATGGTGTCTCTATTCCTTGTCCCGGTGCACTTAATTGCCTCCATCTGATCTAGCATTGGATCTCGTTCACCTTTGTCACGATATTTCAGCTTAGCATGAATGAAAGGATTGTGTTCGCCGTTGCCACCTGTTTGATCATAATGGGTCCGTGTGGGAAGATTCGTCAAGGAGAGTTCATCGGCTCCTCTCTCCGTTTTATCAGCTTGAGTGCAGCCATACACATCATCTTCTGCATTCTGCTCGTCTATCTGAGATGATAACTGTCCTATACGTGACTGCGTGTCGTCTGCATCCGTCATTGCCACCGTCACATATCCTCTTGTGATGAGATTATGGTGACCTCCGGATCGTGGAAATCTTGTTTCTTCCTCACATGGATCACCCCAACGTGAAGAGATGCATTCTATTACATTTGGAAACGCAACTACCTGCAGCGGCGACAAACCATCTATATCCTTCAGGTTCATGTCTGCTTCATTCAATGTAAGGTAATCGACTATGTCTTGGTGTCCTTCTTGAGCAGCGGCTTCTATTGGTGTCCATCCATCATGATTTCGTTCATTGACGTTAGCGTTGTGGTGAATGAGAACTTTAACGATGTCCATGTTACCCTTGTAACATCCTGCATGAAGAGGGGACTTGCCGCCGTCATTTATTTCGTTCACATCATATGTACTGGAGACTAGGAAGTTTACCACGTCAACATGGTCATACTGTGTTGCGATGTAAAGTGGTGACAATCCTTCAAACCTGGTAAACTGAGCTCCTTCTGCCAAGAGAACTTTGACAACTTCTAAATGGCCGTTTCTGACTGCGGCATGTAATGGCGTCCACCCATCGTCATCATTCTTGTTTGTATCAGAACCTTGCTGAATGAGATATTCCATAACTGCTATGTTACCGTCTATAGCTGCACCATGGAGAGCAATTATCCCTTTTTCATCTTCCTCGTTCACATCAGCGTCATTGGATATTAAGAATTTTACGATGTCTAAATGACCAAATCTTGCTGCGGCATAGAGTGGTGTCATACCATCATATCTGTTCTGCTTCGCTCCTTTAGTCATGAGATATTTGACAGCTTCCAGATGGCCCTCTAAAACGGCAGCATTGAATGGTGTCCGCCCTGTGTTATCTTTCAAATTCACATCAGACTCTTGTTGAATGAGATATTCCAAGACTTTCATGTGGCCTCGAGTAGCTGCACCATGGAGAGCAATCTTTCCTTGGTCATCTTCTTGGTTTACATCAGCTCCTTTGGAAATCAAGAATTCCACGATGTGTAAATGACCAAATTTAGCTGCGGAATAAAGTGGGGTCATACCATCAAATCTGTTCAGATTTGCTCCTTTAGTCATAAGATAGTTGACAGCTTCCAGATGGCCATATTGAGCAGCAACAGTTAGTGGGGTCATTCCGGTGTCGTCTTTCTTGTTCACATCGCACCCTTGATGAATGAGGTATTGTAGCATTTCAATGTCACCCTTTACAGCTGCACCATGTAAAGGAATCTGGCCTATACAGTCTCCCTCATTCACATCACCTCCTTTGGAAATGAGGAAGTTTACAACGTTTATATGACCAAATCTCGCTGCGCAATGTAGTGGAGTGATTCCGTTATATGTACTCTCTGTCGCCTTCATGTTCCAGAGAAATTTGACGGCTAGTAGATGCCCATATTGAACGGCAGCATTGAACGGTATCCAGCCTGACTTGTCTTTCTTGTTCACATCAGATCCTTGCTGAACGAGATATTCCATTACCTGTATGTAGCCTCGAGTAGCCGCACCATGAAGAGGAATCCTCCCGTCATCAAGTTCTTCGCTCACATCAGCTCCGTTGTTTATGAGGAATTTGACGATATCTGAATGACCAAAGAATGCTGCGGCATAGAGTGGGGTCATACCATCATATCTGTTCTGCTCCGCTCCTTGAGTCATGAGATATTTGACAGCTTCTAGGTGGCCAAATTGAACAGCAGCATTGAATGGACTCCAATCCTTGACATCACCCTTGTTCACATCAGATCCTTGTTGAGTGAGATATTCCACGACGTTCAAGTGGCCCCGAGCAGCTGCACCGTGGAGAGGAATCATCCCTTTTTGATTTCCCTCGTTCACATCAGCCCCATTGGAAATGAAGAATTCGACGATATCAAAATGACCAAAATATGCTGCAAAATAGAGTGGGGTCTTTCCAGCATATCTGTTCTGCACCGCTCCTTGAGTCATGAGATATTTGACAGCTTCTAGGTGGCCAAATTGAACAGCAGCATTAAATGGAGTCCAACCCTTGACGTCACCCTTGTTTACATCAGATCCTTGTTGAATAACATATTCCATGACTTCCATGTGGCCTCGAAAAGTGGCAGCATGGAGAGGTATCATCCCTTTGTAATTTTCTTCGTTCACATCAGCTCCTTCGGATATGAAGAATTCAACGATGTCTAAATGACCAAAATACGCTGCGGCATAGAGTGGGGTCATTCCATCATATCTGCTCTGCTTCGCTCCCTCAGTCACGAGATATGTGACGGCTTCTATGTGGCCATATTGAACGGAAGCATTGAATGCTGTCCACCCAGTGTTATCTTTCTTGTTCACTTCAGATCCTTGCTGAATGAGGTATTCCATGACTTTCAAGTTGCCTCCAGAAGCTGCACCGTGGAGAGGAATCATCCCTTTGTCATTTTCTTCGTTCACACCAGCTCCTTTGGATACCAAGAATTTGACGATATCTAAATGACCAAATTGTGCAGCGGAATAGAGTGGGGTCATACCTCCGTATCTGTTCTGCTTCGCTCCTTTAGTCACAAGATATTTAACGGGTTCTATGTGACCATATTGTACAGCAGCATTGAATGGAGTCCAGCCGGTGACAATACCCTTGTTTACTTCAGATCCTTGCTGAATGAGGTATTCCATGACTTTCAAGTTGCCTCCAGACGCTGCACCGTGGAGAGGAATCATTCCCTTGTCATCTTCTTCGTTTACATCAGCACCTTTGGATACCAAGAATTTGACGATATCTAAATGACCAAATTGTGCTGCGGCATAGAGTGGGGTCATTCCATCGTATCTGTTCTGCTTCGCTCCTTTAGTCATGAGATATTTGACGGCTTCTATGTGACCATATTGTACAGCAGCATTGAATGGAGTACAACATATAGCATCACCCTTGTTCACATCAGATCCTTGCTGAATGAGGTATTCCATGACTTTTAAGTGGCCTCCTAAAGCTGCACTGTGGAGAGGAATCATCCCTTTGTCATCTTCTTCGTTCACATCAGCTCCTTTGGATATGAAGAATCTGACGTTATCTAAATGACCAAAATACGCTGCGGCATAGAGTGGGGTCATTCCATCATATCTGCTCTGCTTCGCTCCCTCAGTCACGAGATATGTGACGGCTTCTATGTGGCCATATTGAACGGCAGCATTGAATGCTGTCCACCCAGTGTTATCTTTCTTGTTCACTTCAGATCCTTGCTGAATGAGGTATTCCATGACTTTCAAGTTGCCTCCAGAAGCTGCACCGTGAAGAGGAATCATCCCTTTGTCATCTTCTTCGTTCACATCAGCTCCTTTGAATACCAAGAATTTGACGATATCTAAATGACCAAATTGTGCAGCGGCATAGAGTGGGGTCATACCATCATATCTGTTCTGCTTTGCTCCTTCGATTGTGAGATATTTGACAGCTTCATGATGGCCATCCTGAACGGCAGCATTGAATGGAGTCCGCCCTGTTTTATCTTCCTTGTTCACATTAGCGCCTGCTGCGATGAGACTATATATGATACAAGTATAGCCACTGCATGCTCCTGTATGAAGAGGCGTCTGACCCAATTCACATCCTACACTTACGTCCGCTCCTTGAAGGATGAGGAAGTCAACGATGTGTGTATGTCCTTCTTGAGCCGCTACATGAAGAGGACGGAGTCCATCCTTACTTGGTTTATTTGGATTAGCTCCCCGTGTAATGAGATCCTGAACACCTTCGAGATGACCTTCTAAAGCTGCCTTGTAGAGCGGTGTGTATCCTGCCTCATCCAGTTGGTCTACGTCAGGGTTGAATGGTAGCTCTAGTTTGAACAGACTGGTATCACTCAGGGATATTTCATTCAGTGTATTATACGTGGCATACCAAGCGTCATTCGGATCAGTCCCTAAGATTTCCATGATTTCACCTGGCTGCAGAGGAGATGTGCATTCTTCTACATGGACGCACTTGTCAGCAGCAGATGTGTCGGTATTCAAATTTACAAGAGCGTCGTTTGACAGCTCTGTCTTTTCGTCCTCTTTATCTGCATCAGGTCGAAGTAATGTAGGCGCTTTAGACAGTACACTGTCTCCACCATCTGTATGCTCTCTCTGTGCTTCGTTGCGTTCAGTATCCAAAGCACCGGATGTATGGTGTGATGGCATTTTTTGCAGTGATGTGATCAGTGGTATACCGGTTCCCTTGGCCCTATAACAAAAGGCATATTTATAGTGTTGTACTCGAATTGATATTATGGAATATGACATTTTAACTTGTTAAACCTTTTACGTCATTTGATTTATACTTGTTCGAATTCCATTAGACAAGAAAGAGATTGAAATGAAGGCAAAGGCGATAGGATGATATGCGATTGAAAATAAGCAATAACATTACATGATGCAATTTGAGACTGACACCATATTTGGGGACGGAGAGGGGGGACCATTTGTTGCATATCTGGGATGTAACATTTCTAGTCCCTTGCTGCGTATTGATTCCTCAATAACTATTTATGTATCTACCAGATTTTTCAAGGGAAATTTGAAACAAGTCAACGCATTTTGTCGATATCGATTTGTAAAGGACAATATGAGATTTTAGAATAAAATGTAATATCAAAAGATGGAGGTGAAGTCAGTCTCATCATTAGTAATAGGCGTAAGAAACATAGAACAAATTTACAGTTTTTAACCCCGACCATGCCAACGGTTTGTAAGCGTTACGAAATCAAACCTTTAATAAAAGAGGTTTCGTAAACACACTTCCAACTGAGCACTTACTTTTCAAAAAGATAATAGAGTCTCATAAAGAAATGAGTGGAGCCCATCGAGTTTCTTCTAAGAGGAGGACAGAATTAGCAAAGATATATAAATGCTTGGTACTGAAACGGGAAATCGACTATTGTGTGATATGCGTGAAATGACTAGTTGCAATGATTATCCAATTACGATGAATGGTTACAGATAATAGTGGTTCAAATAAAATATATTCATGTTTGATGTCAATGACGATGAAATAAAATGTCTAAGCAGAAAAACCTCAATTATGACAACGCTATGCGTTGTATTTTTTATTTATAAAATAAAGGTTGTCCGATTCAGCATCCACTTTCCTCTCTCTCTCTCTCTCTCTGTCCTCTCTGTCCTCTGTTTCTATTACTCTATAGTTTGCTGAGCACTCTTCTCTACTTTTCTATTGGTATGATCTTTATCATTTTAAGAAACTGCCCATATTTTTCAAATGAACAAAGACAGTATAATTATCATGCAGATAACGATGTTATGAAGGTACTATCATGCCTGGATTACATTTGGCCCGGGCGCCGCACTATAAATTGGTCTACAATATTTCGTGCGATTTGGGGGGGCATCGTAGGAGGCTAATGGCTACGATGTTTGTGCTTACATTATCTACGAGCATCGTGCTATTTCTTGTATTGGCCCTCGGGGGCAGACCTGGACACATTCGTACACAGGCTGCTCGGAGATTGTACGGAAATCGTGCAATTTCAGTGCAACACCCGTGCAGTCTCTGCAACCTCCGCACGGAAATCGTACAGAGCTCGTGCAGCTTCCGTGCAAAGGTTGCGCGGAGAGGCGCGGTGACCGTGCAACCTCCGTGCCGGTTTTTCGGCGTCTGTTGCACCCATGTTCACTGAAAAATCGTGCGTTTGCTGCACGATCAGCGTGAGGCCTGCGCGCATTGCCCGTGCGGGGATTGTGCAATGCCACCTACGACATGTCTACGGGCTACGGGCTTACGATTTTTCAAATTTGTTTAACTCATATTGCTCCGGTTGTCTCATTTACGCTCGCTGGAACATTGCCAGCACAAACCACTGACACCTACCTCCTGGACGGATCATCGCCCATTCCCGCCCGTGATAACGCTTGAAGTGGGCTCGCACGCGCGGCGGCCATTTTACACTTCAAAGAGCGATACGGCTCACTATACGTTACGTACTAAAAGGCTGTATTGTCTGACCGTTAATGAATATTCATGTTTTTGCTTACCTCGGCAAAATGCTTGCCTATACTAAATGGAAAAATTACGGTGGGGGTTGGATGAAATGGACATAACGAACAAATCAGAACTGATTTATGATAATTCATGCTTCTTATTCTTCGTGTGCTTGACTTATAACCTTACAATCGCGTGGTAAATTGAGTCCAAAGTTCGACTTGTTATACATGTGTTATATAGACAATGGGGAGCTTGCGACCTATTTTGATGAAATTACGGTGGGTGAAATTTCAAAAGTCAATGAGACATGAGGGTTCCAATGAAAGAGCTAGTGATAACGTACGTCGGGGTGGATGTGCTTTTCGTTTAAACAAAAAATGAATTTTTAACGATTTTTGTGGGTAAAAGTCCATAGGCTAACATGTTAGGCTGCTGACTCTGACGATAGGGGGCGTTGTCAAACGGAGCTATATATGCCCCGCGAAACAAAATCGTAGTCGCTGCGGAGCCCGTGAATCCGTACGAAAATCTCACGGCCGCCTCCTGCCTCTCCACGGAGGCCGCACGGAAAAGGGGATACGAGCAGGATACGGGCCCCGTAGACTAATCGCAAGCGAAATGTAATCCAGGCATGAGCCTCACTTTAATAATAATAATATTGAATTTTTATATTTTTATATATATTTTTTATTTTTTACATTTGATTCACTGATAGATTAACTCGCAATATGTTTTACGCTAGTGCAATTACCATAAATACAATTCATAACAACCTATACAGTATATGGCACAACCGAGGCCCACGTTTTACTTGATGATGACTGATACAAAATTTAAAAAAAAACTTACAGTTTCTGATCCTGAATTCCTACGTCACCATCAGAATCTTGAATGAGACTCTTCTCATTTTCATGTTGTTGTTCAAACTCGCAAGCCATCTCAGTTTGCTGAAGAAAAACAAACAAAACTAAAATTTATCACAGCTAATGATATCATAATTTTACAGGGGTTTTTATCCCACTAATTGGAAGCCCAACAAAGCGAGGAAATGAAAACCGTTTTTTGTATCACGAGCTGAAATAAAAATTTGGAATATCAAATAAAGATCATAATACAGATTATGTATGGATTACGAAGAATACATATCTATAAAAAAAAAACATACCAATCACAGCGAAATATGAAAAAAAATAATGTAATTGCACCGATAAATTATCAGTGATCGAATTTGGCCCGAAAAACGAATTATCTTGATGGATATATAGACTACCTTCGTATCAAATGCCCCCCCCCCCCCCCTCAAGCAAGGTATGGTAACCCCACTGGGAGTCATAGACACATTTATTTCGCACTACGATTCGGCGACATATAGTAGCGGCAATGATCTTTGTCGATAAATGATATATCCTTCGATTACGTAATTTCTGTGTACAAATGCAACGAATTAGGAATGTTTTTCCCATTGGTCACACAATAAATATAACAATAACTTTTCCCTCGGGGCCGTTGTGAATATCATGCTGTGATCAATCATCCAGGGGCCTCTAGCATAAAATGTTGCGAGTAAACGAAACTCCTTAAAGATTCTATATGTCCCATTTGCAGGCCAAAAATTGAGAAGGTTAAATTCCAACGGCATTTGAAAGATAATACTAATTTAGAACTTCCGTAAAAAAAGAGGGGCTTGAAAATGTCTTTAATTGGAAAACTACGACTATTAGTTGTCAAAGCAACTTAAGTGCCACCAAGTCAGAAAGTAATAGTCTGATTTTCAGACCATTGTACCGAATGGTCATACGTTTTGTGCTGCACAAAGAATCAATCAGTTTAATGTTGGCCATTACAAGAAGTGGGTTATTGAGGTAGACTAATGATAATGTACCCTTTACAGCTCATTTTATGTATGTTATTACCAAAGAAGAAAGAAAAGGCCAGTCAGTCACTCAATAGTGTCTAACAGAGAAGTCTAGCAAGTAAACAGGTTTCCTTGCATACCTTGAATATTAAGACACTGCTAACGTTTACATTTCACAGATAGGACATACATGACATATTCATAATTCCTGCAAAATTCTACAGAATTTGATGTCGGCTGCAAAAGGGGCATAGTAGTATCTTTAATTCACATTTGGTTGGAAAAAAATGTTTCTTCTTTTAAAGTTGAATCAACATTTTAATTCAGGCTCCGGGAATGATTACGAATGCCAAAGCTCTAAACAAAATTCCCGAAAACATGTCTAATTCACCCTTTGTCAATTTTTCAGACTTAATCTTCATTATCTGTTAATAAATGCTGTTATAACACCTACCGGTATTAGGAACCGGTGAATTACAATTCCTTCCAATTCAATACAATTTGATTTTTACTGTCAAAAAGAGACATGACAAGGTATTACACAAATAAAAAGATCAGCATTTGCAAATATAGTCATGATAAAGAGATGAGAACATTTAAAGAAAGTTGTGTAGGAATTGCAAGTAAAGTTTGGCGAAAACTAATTATCTCGTGCTCAGCATTAGTGCCCCCGTTCGCTTGATTAACCTTTTAAAATTAAACCCCCACCTTGTGATAGACAAGTCTAAGAATGTCCTATGCTACATATGGTAAAGTATTTATTTGATTGATTTACAAAATTAACAGTTCACTTGAAGTCAGTCAAATGCATAACCTAGATGCTGCAATATGGAAAGCTTTCACCTTATCGTTTTAATACATTAGTGAATAAGTTCTGAAGTCCCTTTGCAGTTATATATATGCTTTTTTTTTTACAAGTCAGGGATAGAAACGGTATTTTACCACCCCCTTTCTCTCTCCCACTATCTCTCTCTCTCTCTCTCTCTCTCTCTCGCCAAAGCCTAGTCATTCTAGGCGAACCACCGAAAACGATTTCCGACAACCGAAATGAAGCTGCGCCCATCGGCAACCAATTTGCAAATACTTTATAGTGGGCGATCAGTACCAAAAAGGTTACATGGCAGTTACTGATAGGTTGCCGAAGGTCGTACAAAAATGTCACTAACATCAACAAATTTCGTTTAAAGATTTGCAACCGCATGTGGAAATATTTGCAAAGGGTTGGCAGTTGTTGCCTATTGCTCGGCGATAATACACAACTTGTCAGAGATCAATGGCTAATGTAATCGTTATTGATGTATGCACCAGCGGTACATTCTTTGATACACAGATAGAAGTATTATTTTCAAGAGGGAAACAAAAGGTATTCATGAAGCGCCTCCATCACTTTGGCAGTTATTATTCTAAAATCTACAAAGCGGGACGTCTCCATGTCTAAAAGATCTGTGTATATTTGGGGGTCATCTCCGAAGAGGCTTTAATATGAAATGGGGGGATTTTTTTTCCGGATCCATATAAAAAAACAGCAGCATACGTAAAATGTATAAATGAATGGATCAGACTGTACCTAATTTTTGAACTGGCATGTTGTGCTTTTAATAGGCTGCTTCAGCTATAAAAAACTGGGTAATTTTCATTATTAGAAAATTACAGAATAACGTGATCTAATAAGATCAAGAAACAATAAAGATTTAAGTTTCCTTCCTTCTTCTTTTTCTTCCTCTTTTCGTTTAATGGAAAGGTATCAAACAAACTGAATTTGTGAACCATTCAGTATAAAGCATCAATAAAATTTCTAAAGTTTAAAATGCAATCCTTCCTGAATATTGATGTTCGGCAAGCATTTAGAGTTTAATCGGTAATTGATCTTTAATCACTCGCATATCAACGGCCGACTGTTTCTTAAAGGTAATACAAAGTTTTGGGAAATTTTGGAAATTGGGTGGATAGTGATTCTTGACAATATATCTTGACAATATTCTTGAAATTTGATATTTTTTGATGCCCCTGTGGATGTATTATAAGCACTAGAAAATCTAGCCCCTACAACAGTTCTACCTTCGAGAAAAATTGAATATAAAAATTTACCGGTGCTCCCGGTAAACTTTGATAAATTCCAAATAGCACCTACGGTCGTACAATGGTAGCTGCGACCATGACATTCTCAGAATATGTAGTTGTGATAAATGAGCTGCCTGGTCTCTTGAGGGCCGAATCTTCGCGATCGGTAAGACCCCTTTCAGTAACAAGAAACTGATAAAATCAAAAGAAGACATTGATCGCATGTAACTTAATCTAGTATGTACTCCTGGATGACTTTTTATCACATATACTATAACCGTTGTTGTTTGATTTCCCCCTTTTAATGCTTTTTTTAGTTTTATGTTTGATGTTAATTATTAGTTGTTTGTGATGTTTTGTGCAGTTTGTAATCTTGCAGTAAACACGGATTTATTCACTTGTTCCCATTGCAGAAACTATCACGATGATCGTCATACTTCTATAGATGATTTACATGATATACATGTATGTCAATGTCAATTTCCACGATGCTTCCATTCTATTTTTCCTCTCAATGATATCCACGATACTGAATTGATTGATATGTATGTTGAGAGCGCAAATACTCAATCGCTCGGAACTCAAGATTTGAATAACTTGTATAAACAAATTTAATTCGAATAGTGATTCTGAGTTTGATTTGGAATTCGATTTTAATTGCAAATACTATTTAGATGATCAATTTATAGACAGTTTTAAAAATGTAAATAATAGCTTTAGTTTACTACACTTTAACGCTCGTAGTTTGAACCAAAATTTCGATGCGATATCCGAATTCGTATCTACATTGTCGTTCACCTTTTCTATCTATGGATTTTCAGAAAACTGGATTAATAACAGTACCCCTTTATTGTTTGATATAAATGGTTATGCATTTGTTCATTCTGATCGGAATCTTGGGAAAGGTGGAGGAGTAGCTCTCTTGATTTCAGATTCATTGAATTATGTAGTTCGGACAGATTTATTAGAACAATCACAAAATTATGAATCACTTTTTATTGAAATAATGCTATCACAAAGAAAGAATATTATCGTGGGTATTGTTTACAGAAAACCGTCATCAAATATTATTGATTTTAATTGTAACTTTGAAGATTGTTTGAAGAAAATCGATATAGAATGTAAGCATGCATATATAATGGGTGACTTTAATATTGACTTGATGAAGTATTCTAATTGTAATTCTGTAAATCAATTTCTTAGTATAATCTATGCATATAGTTTCTGATAAACCGTCTAGGATTACTCAGTCATCATTTTCTTTAATTGACAATATTATTACAAACAATTTTAATTCTGACATGTCATCTGGCCTATGTGTGAATGACATCTCCGACCATTTCCCTGTATTCCAAGTTTTAAAGAAATACAAGTTATCTAAAAATGCTTCGATATATGAACGTCGTAATATTAATGAAAATACTATTACTACTTTCTAAGAAAAAGTTGCTGTTTTTGACTGGAATCAAACACTATTTTGTGAAAATGCTGAAGTTGCTTACAATAGATTTTTAATAAATTTCAGTAACTTATATGATACTGTATTTCAAATTTTTTCCAAAATCAGAGGGAATAAGAAAAGGAAGAAACCTTTGATTGATTCAATTTTATTACAAAAGATTCGGAAGATAAATAAATTATTTAAGAAATATCGTGAAAATTCAAACTATAATACCAAGAAAAATTATGCAAAGATAAGAAATGTTGTTAACAATAAAGAAGCTCGGAAAAGGTTTTACGAACATAAATTTCAGGAATCTAGTGGTAATCTAAAAAAAGACATGGAACATTATTAAAGAGGTACTTGGTAGTAAAAAGACTAATTTGCCTATCTTTGTATATGATAATGGGAACACTGTATGCGGGGATAAGAATATAGGAAATAGTTCAAATCAGTTTTTTATAAAATATTGGATTATTAATAAACGATTCCGGAAATCAGCTTAATAACAATGATTATGTCAAATTCTTGCTGCAGAATTGTTCTAAATCATTGTTTTTTAAACCTGTAACTGAAAATGAAATAATTGAAGTTACTAAAAAGATCAAATGTAGTAGTAGTTGTGGTATTGAAAATTTGAGTCCGGAAGTTATTAAGAAAATAATAGTACTTATTCTGCAACCATTATGCCATATTTTAAACTTATCCTTGTTTACATTCTGATCGACGAGGAAGTGATGGTTTGCCATTGCCTGAAACCAAAAGGTGTATATTTGCTTTATATTCCACATCTAAAACAATTTAACTACAAAAAGAGAAGGACGTGTATGCATCTACATAAAAGACACCTAGGCCCAAATTCATTCCAAAAAAGTTTAAGTTTAACCCAACCACTTGAGGGTACGGTGCGCGTATGTGTTTTCTTTAATTGCGCTCATTGGTAATGCGCGCTTAATTACGCCTGTTTTAGTGCGCTTTTGGATAATCTTCAGTAAAAGAGCGTTGCCCTGTGTAGATAGTACCTCTATCTTCAGTGAAAGTGCGTTGCACTGTGTAAATAGTAGTACTACCTACACAGTGTAACGAACTTTTTGCTTCTCCCATCAATAATGGGCGAACTATCTTTCATCACGTGATTTACTTTTGACCAATCGTAGAGCAAGATTCTTAGTATGTGGAATATAAACCATATTATTAACCGTCTCAGACATCTGAGCAGGGACATTTTTAAATGTTATTGCCCTCAAGGTTTGATGGATAACCCAACAAAACTACAGGCGAAAAAAAATATCATTGACCGCTCAGAAAAGTCAATGGGATTTTGTGTTTAATTTGTCGGTAAATACGGTTATACAGTAAACCAATGAACAAATATTATTGCCCGCTCTGAAAAGTCAATGGAATTTTGTGTGTAATTTGCCGGTCAATACGGTTATACAGTAAACCAATGAACAAATATTATTGCCCGATCTGAAAAGTCAATGGCAAAATGCGTGTTAAACTAGTGAGCAATTTTACCGTGTTTACACAGTGATACGCCTCGAGGGTTGAAGCCGCGAGTCGTGTTGAACCCGGCAATTTTATGTCATGTAAACGGTAAAAAATTGCCGGGTTCAACACGCCTCGCGGATTCAACCCGGCTTCAACCCTCGAGGCGGATCACTATACACGGTAAATATAAAGCGGTGTCACACAGAAAAATCCTGACCCATCTTAAATAAACCAGATTTGAGAAATCTAGTTTTTTCATTTACGTCGGTGACAGACTGGTGACAGACAGGCTACGAATAAACTGGATAACTAAAATCCGGATTATTGATGGGCCATTGCGCACACGCCGTTTAGGTAGATAAGCATTGTGACATCACACTTTCAAACGCGTCTCATTAAATGCGCACTAATATATTAAGTAAGAAATCACCTTCATCCGAATGAAACGCATGTTAACATTAATACATACATTTAAATGGGTCGTCGGTGAACTTGCTCTATTGACGGTTTCACGAAACTCAACCTTGGCAATTACGACAACAATGAAAAACTCCCGAAAGCGAAGGGAGGCAGTAGATTTGTTCGGTTTGTTCGGTCGGACAGAAAGCTCCGACTATCATCTTTAAATTTCCGAAGCTGATTTTTGTAAAATTTGTATGCATTTGGTTCTTAACCACTGAGAATCTCCAAGAATAGGGTCTTTTAGATTTGCACTATGACAGAGTGGACTGCTACATGTGACGTCATTTTAAAGGGATCGTTTAACAATGTTAAATCTGAGATACACGGCCCTACGTGTTATCAGTGTCTGTGATATGGTGAAATATTGAAGCCCTAAACAAAAATGGGCTTCAAAATGAGGAAGAAGTTCCTCAAAAAGGTAAAAATCTTTGAGTGACCGGTTTTGCCATACTCGTTTTCCCCAATAGACTGTAGTGTTATGAAAACCGTTTGGCAAACGGTTTTCAAAATTTGTAATTCCAATCATAAATATCTTGACAATCAGACAGGCGATCGGCTTGTAAAGGTCATGGGGTTCCTGACTGACCTAAATGTTTATAATTATCATTGCAGCATGAGCAAAATCCAGAATTTTGTTTCGGAATCTGAGAGAAAGTTACCGGATCCCTTTTAATGGAATAGATTCATCAACTATAACATTTTTTATATATATATATCTTTTGTTTCAATGGTGGTGAATAAATTCAATTCAATTAAGTATTAAATCATTAATGAGTTACAATTATTGTTGCCCAGTTATATATTTTTTCACCAAATATAATTGTTTTCTTCTCACCTATGATTTTCCACATTGAAAGGTAAAGTTCTGCTATTTGATTGAGAATAGAGCTTGCTGCATACAAGTTTGCATGGTACGTAATATTATCAAGAAAATGGCTGCGCCCATGTCATGATAAATATCATTACATCATGTCATGAATATCGAGATCTATATATCTCTTGTACATTTCTCAAGAGACATTGTAAATCAATAGGCAGGAATAATCTCATCTTTTCAGCATACCTACGCTTAATATTCTGTTGAGTGAGGTTTCCTTAAAGTAGCAATGTGTTAGAGATAAATAAACGTGATATTATTTCCTTTATACTTTATCATGATTAATCCTTCTTGTATCCCGAACAATATGTTTTGCTTACCTCAACTGCATCTGGTACGGCTGATTCTTTACTCATCTCCTCGCCATCCGTGTTCACTCCCATGATCGATCACCCTGTTAAATATTAAAGATATCCATCAGAAAGGGCTAATATGGCATCAAGCTCTCATTATCTTGAGCCTTGGTCAGTTCTGTTCTCATATTTCTCATATTTTCCTTTAATTTAGATTTATTTTATTAAATTAGATTCAAATCTATATTATTTTTCATTGATAACAAAATAATTTACATAATGAATACATACAAAACATACTTTGAAAGGACCCCGTAGTAGGCAAAGCTTATTAGGATGGGTGCTGTTTAAATGAAGACAGTCAAATGAACATAAATGAAATATGAATAAAATAAATCGACAGGCAATAGTAATAGAAGCAAAAACATGCACCATATGCACCCACATAATTCATTCCAATAGCTATACCACATTAGTATTTACACAAAAAGCCACCACACATTACATCAAATACACACAGAGAAGTTTCACTGAAGAAGAAAAGGGATAGACACACAGAGTTAAAGAGTCAGAAAAAGAAGGAATTAAATTTATCCATTATGTATACGATCAGAACTATAAACAAAAATCAAAAGAGTAAAGAAAAGGCCTTATGATGTATTTGCCAAGCAGAAAAATGACGGAAGTCAATTAATATTATTTCTATTCTCTATTTACAACTTTACGCCTTAATCATATCCAAAAAGTTTAGCACTTTCACCTACAGCGATTAGATTTTAGATGAACACTTTGTGTATTTCAAATATATTCAATTTTCTAATTACACCTCACCAGTGTCAATACTGCATATTAAACTTTCATAGTACTTACTTCTTATAGAACACTAAGGTATGGAAGTGCCCTCAGTCTGGCATTGATTCAGCAATAGACACGTCAATAGCCTAGTCCAGCAAAGATGTCGCAACCTGGCTGTAGAAAAGCACACCAAACCAACTGCCGGGAGTTGTCGCAAAATAATGGCGTGTACTTTTAAATTGTTGGTTAGGAACGTTTTGATAACGCCTTTATTTGTCACGTGATGTATGGTATCCTATCAGTTTCAGTCCCAAGCGGTTATAATGTCACGAGGTTTCAAAGGCCTACTTTGACCTTTGTCTTATGATGAGTTTATTCAGTGGTTAATCATTTTCCATAATTTGTATTTATATTTTATAGATTGTGTTAGAGGTTATTGTGATAACCAATCAGAGTTAATATTTCAATCGAATAAATATAGCTCCTGTTATCTAATTATATTTATTGTTGAAGATATGAAATTATCTTGAATATATCATATCAAATACTTGACGAATCTGTTTGAATGTTTACATTTCGTTTTGCCTTCGTCACGTAGCCCACGTAATTACCCCATTATTCATTTTCGTAGACTGGTAAACAATATTTCACTCAAATGTTCCCTTCCTAACACACCATTGACAGTACTGTGTAATACTTGATTATAAGGTACATTACCGTACGAGCTTTTAAGGGGGTCCTCCAGGCTAGTAGGAGCGAATTCTCACTACTAACTCAAAATTAAGCGAGCAAGAAATTAAATGAATAAATGAATGAATAAATAATATTAAAATGATACTTTGTATGGTCCTGACAACGACAGCACATTTTTTTGTCCCGAAATTTGACAACTTTGGCCGATCGATATTTCGTTCCGTTGGGGGGGGGGGGGGGGGGGAGGGGGGGGGGGGTAAGGTTACCTTTTTTGGTCACCCATTAGCACAATTAAAAAAATAAAAAATAAAGAAACAGAACATGAGAGGGGGGGGGGTTACACACTAAAACAATTTGAGGGGGGTTCAACCCTTTCCCCCTGCGTACGCGCCTGCACACACACACACACACAAACAAACACACAAACGTTATGTTGGGTCAAGATGGAACAGGAAAAATGGCGAGAGGCGAGGCCATGATATTGTGATTACCCCAACTAATGAAAACTTTCCGTATCATATTACCTAAAATTTGTTCTATTATGAATTCATTCTTTATTAAAAATACTTCATCAAGCTGTGCCATGTTTCATTGTATATTTTTTGTAATTACTTATACTAAATTGCAAATAACATTTCAAATTCATTTCATTCTTTTTTGCATGAGAAATAAAATCATTTGAATCTTGAATCTTGAATGTATTCAATTTGAGAAGAAGAAAGAAAAAGCAGTTTTTCATACTGGTGACCCTGTCCTCAAAAGAGGTAGAATTTATTTTATCAAATAGTATTATATTGTATTTAATTTTATTTCAATTGATTTTATTTCACTTTATTTTATTCTATTTTATTGGTGCGTGAAAACAGAACAGCAGCACCATCTAAAGGTTAATCCGATGCGTCTAAATCTAAATGAGTCCATGGTAGGATGCAAACTTTAATGTTCTATGCTCAGCATTGCGTCTGTAAAATGGCGCCTGGCTGGAATATTTCCCCAGGGAGTGGAGAATATAAACACGGAATATTAGTATTATGATTCGTTTGATTTTCATGGTTGGAGCATCTTAAGCTTCGATAAATATTTTGGCATAAGCGTAACTCACTGGAAGTAAAATGGGACAAAACCATTAGCATTGTAATTTAATTTTTTTTTCTTTCTTCTTTTAGTCTGTTCATCATTCATGTACTTTGATATGCCTATATTTACCTTGGGGGAGGGAATATTTACACATTACCTTGATGAGTGCACACGAACACTTAAATACATATTGTTATCATTCAATTCAATTCTGTGAACTCTGTCATTTAATCAAGATATATGGAGCTTATTAAAATCTTTACGTGGGACTTCGAACAGTATTTGTTTGTTCATATTCAAACTTGACTAGACTGGAATCTCTCTTTACCCTTAAACTTCAAAAACTGTTAGCCTGTCAACCAATTCAAAACTTGTCTTAACACATATTTATTCAAAAATGCTTTTGATGATTCACTTTCTCTGTTCACATTGATGTAGATTTCATATGTTTTGTAATTTGTAGGTTTAGTCGTAATTTTTGTTTTGTTTAATATGTAATTGTTATAGAGCTTAATAACTTCGATAATACGCGCTTAATAAGCGACGTTTATTATTAGTAGTATTATTAATATTTCTCCCTTCCACACTCATTTTCATTTTGTTTTTCTGTCTCATATCTGTCTTTCTGCCTGGTTTTCTTCCCTATCTATATATTTCCAGCTATTCTCCACCTTCTCTCTCTCTCTCTCTCTCTCTGCCTTTTCTCTCTCTCTCTTGCTTTCCTCGCACTCATTTTCACTTTGTTTTTCTGTCTCTATGCCAACTTCTCTTCCCTTTCTACATCTTTCCAGCTACACTCTCCCCCCTCTCTCTCTCTCTCTCTTTCCCTCTGTCTTTCTGCCTCCTCTCTTACCGCCTTCCTCCCCCTCCCAGTCATTTTCACTTTGTTTTTTCTGTCTCTTATCTGTCTCTATACCTACTCGTCTTACCTCTCTATATCTTTCCATTTTTACCATCCACCTCTCTCTCTTATCTGTCCAAACCCTTTAGTAAGAACTGAAAAGTAACAGGGCCTAAATACTCAAGATTTTCTTGTTAGTGAACGCATTTGTTGGTGATAAAGATTTGACCACATAAACATTTTCCTACCTAATGCCCGTTGACTCGTACTTTATCAGATACGAGATGATATATGACATCTAATAAACTCGTTCAAAGTACAGTTTATTAATAAGATAGAACTATTAAGAGGATCAAAGTGATTCCATAATCTTATAGATACTATGTCTCTTTTGCAGCCAACATCAAATTCTGTAGAACTTTGCAGGAATTATGAATATGTCATGTATGTCCTATCTATGAAATTTAAACGTTAGCGGTGTCCTAATATTCAAATTATTCAAGGAAACCCATTTACTTGCTAGACTTCACTGTCAGACACTATTGAGTGACTGTGTGGCTTATTTTCTTCTTTGGTAATAAGATACATAAAATGAGCTGTAAAGGGTACTGATTGAATCTTTGCGCAGCATAGAACGTACGGCCATTCGGTACAATGGTCTGAAAATCATACTTTTACTAATACTGGCTCTATAGCTCTTAAGTCGATTTGACAACTAATAGTCGTTATTTTCCCACTTAAAGACATTTTAAAGCACCCCTTTTTTAGGGAAGTTCTAAATGAGTATTATCTTTCAAATGGCGTTGGAATTTAAACTTTTCATTTGTTTTGTCTGCAAATAGGACACAGTACCTTTAATGTAGAAGCTTCTTTAAAAAACAAAACAATCGAAGCATATAAAACTATGTAAATGGCTCATCGAAACGATTCTCATGGTGGGTCTAACACGTCTTCACCACGTCTTTACAATTACAGAATGATCCCTGATGATAAAACGGCTAAAAGTTCCCGATGAAACTAAAGTAGTATCATTTATTGTCAGGAATATCATACAAGGAAGCAAATTGAATACCTATATATATCATCTCCTGAGAACCAACGCCCTGAAAATCGATTATTCTAAAATTAATTTAATTTCAATAAGCCCCCTCTTTCCCGCCCTAAATCGTATTAAACAGTCTGAACCAATATCGAATTTATTTCAAACAATGAGCTTTTCATAAATGTTGTCATGCTTAACTTTGATTTTAATTTCATGACTTACCATACCATTAACAAAATTAATGCCAATGACCAAAAAAGAGCACTAATGGTTTCAGCTCTTTAAAATTTAAACAAAAAATATCTTATACACTAACTTGACCATTATCAAAATAATCGAGTTATGCATTTCAGAGACATGGATGGTTGGCTATATTCTGAACCTCGACCGCAGTGAGAACTCGGCCATAGATCTTGACCTCGTCAATCAAGCCATAGAAATGCTCGTTACTTTGGCCTGGACCTGCTTGACCAATAGTGACCGGTGTATTGCGTGTTAGAATAGGACCTGTGCAACAGTTCTGGTTGATCGCTGTCTGCTGCTGACCATTAAGGTAGTATAGCAAGGTAGCCCCGTCATCATGGTCACGTGATTCCAGGTGTTCCGCAAAGCGACAAGATGTATGTAGTCCCAGGTAGTACC